AGGTGTGTACAGTTTTCTGGTTCGGAACTGTGTTCCAAACTATTGCAATTTTCAAAGCTGCCTTTGCAATTCCAGCGACATGATTGTGCCAAGAGAGGTGTCCATTTTAACCCCCAACAAACTTATCGAGGCAGAAAGCGGAATTGTCTGTCCTGATATTATCATATCCGGTTCGTAGACATTTTTCTTTTTGGAGAAAACTGATGCCTGGGTTTTTGTAGCATTGAATTGAACCTGGTTACTTTCACCCCAATTGGAAATCACCTCTAGATCCCCATTAAAATATGCTACCTTCTGCTGCCGTTGAAAATGTGTATCCACAGCCGATGTCCTGGAATCGAAATGACAAGACAAGTATGCTGTCGTCAACAAAGCAATATATTGGATTCTTTTTTTTTCCAATAAGTCGTTGATATACAATTGAAAGAGGATTGGAGACAATATGGATCCCCGGGAAACACCAGCGTTGATGGTAAAAGTATTCGAGAGATATCCATCGACGGCCACTTGCAGGGACTGAACAGATGTAGGATCAAGAAGCGGAAAAGAGAAATATAATTGCGTGTCGTCGGCATAGTCATGTATATTGAATTTTTTTACAAACAGATAAAAATCACAGATATCATTTTGTAATCAGTCGAAACTTTCAAGTTAAGTGACTCAATATGAGGATGAAATATGTATATTTTTTCGAATGATTCTGGGTTTTTGGAAGAGGTACTTTTTTGCGCACTGATAGAAAAAAATAACATCCATACCTGTCCGTCTTGATTAACACAAATAGTTGAACATCCAATAGCTTGTCTAATAGATGGTTCTGTTCCCTGAGCGCGAAGAATAATATCGTCCATGTGAAGCAGAAACAGCTGAAACAACAAAAAGCATTTGTTAATCGAAATGTATTTAAAAATGGGTTTGATTATCCGAATGGCATATTTGCTCGAAGCATTCAATACTCCTTTGCGGTTTATCGGTTACCATGAGAATTATTTTTCAATTTCAATAAACATTTGTTAGGAGACCTTCGAGTATATCATATAGAGGAAATCAATCTACTTATATTAAAATCACCATAAAGCGGAACCGAACAAGATTGCGGAATAATTGAGCAATTATTTTACCCCACTCTTCATATGTGTGAAAAGAAAATAGACAAGTGTTTATGTTGTGTCACTAAAATTGGTAAAAAATTAGTGCATTTTATTTTTGAAGGAATCGCCTTCTATTTTTGGAAAAAAAAAACGTTTTGGCTTTCTACTTCTCCAACTTAATCCAGAAAATGTGGGAATCTTTCAAAGGAAGGAAGCAATTAGATATCATTCAAAGTATTGCTACACAATACAGGTCGTTTCTTTCATCACGGGAGGATGAGTGTAAGTCCACAGCACTTAGTCCACATGTGACCCATTGTACATACTCCTGAGGAGTTGTCCTCCTAAGTCATCGTCCATCCTGTCCTTTCTAGGAAGGTGGACAGATCACTGGGACAGGACATCTCCTTTATATCGGCAGATGTAGGCCAAGACTCGCCGAACACACACTCTCTTATTGACGATAACTCCGGGCACTCGCACAGGACATGCCTGACAGTCTCATCTTCCTGTTCACATATCCTGCATAGAGGTGTGTCCACTAGCCCCATATTATAGAGGTGTTTCCTTAGTTGACAGTGGCCAGTCGGAAATCCTTCGGCGCCTGCTTTCCAGGGTCGCTCAAGGTGATCCTAGCAAGATCACATCTTTTGATTCCATCCCATCTCTTCAAGGATTGAGCATGGGTGTAACATTTGGCTAGTTCCGCAATTGTCGAAGTCATCAGGCCGTAGGTGCCACTGGGTCCTGAAATTCTTAGATCAGCCGCTTCCATGGCTAAAGAGTCGGCAATCCGATTCCCTTTACTCCTGTCGTGCCCTTCAACCCACCTCAGGATAATGTTATTATCTACCGAGGCTTTGGCTAAATCTTGGTGACACTCTAGTACTAGCCCTGAGGTTATACGTTGTTTGTTCATGGCTAATAGGGCTTGTCTGCTGTCAGTGCAAATTATTATGTTTTTGCCAGAAATTCTTTTCTTGGTTATTTTTTTTGTGGCGATTGAGATTCCAGTCAATTCTGTTGGGACCACGCTGGTACTTCTTCCCATTCCCCAGTATACTCCACACCTTGAGCCTTCTTTGGTTTTTGAGCCGTCTGTATAAATCCGTATTGCATTTGTATCATCTGACTCTATGTTCTGCTTAATTTGTATTTTGTAGGTTTTATTAAACACAAACCTGGGTTCAATTGCATCGCTTGTTGCCTGCAGCAGAGGTTGCGCAGTAAGCGCTTCCCGCCATAGGCCCAGCCTCAATTGACCCATTCCTACTTCGAGGTTTACACCAGCCGTGCGCAATCGTACCATGTCTCATGTTGGTGTTGTTCTCATGGCTCTTGTGATGTTTAAACAAGCCAGTCGCTGTATTTGATATAATTTTTAAATGGCCGTTGCTTGTAGAACTTTCGGTCCCCATGCAATGGCTCCATACGTTAACATAGGTCTTATTATTGCAGTGTAGATCCAGGTGACCACACGGGGTGAAAGACCCCATGCGCGTCCCACTGTCCTCCGACATTGCTCATAAGCCACGTATTCTCTTTTTGCTCTACTCTGTAGATGAGAGTTCCATGTTAGCTTCCTGTCGAGAATAGTACCAAGGTATTTGACCTCTTCAGAGAAGCTCAGTTTGCTTTTGAAGATTTCGAGAGGTGTTAAGCCCGTTAAACATTTTTGCCTGGTGAAAAGGACCACCTCAGTCTTCTTGGGATTGATCGACAGTGAGTGTTCCTTACACCATGTTTCTATTAATTCTATCGCAAAGTGTGTTTACAAATTCGCCGGTCTGTTAGATAACTATGTCATCTCCGTATGCAATTGTGTAGAATGTGATTGATCAGGGTATCCAGAACTATGTTCCAGAGAAGGGGTGATAAGACCTCTCCCTGTGGACATCCCCTTATGACTAGTCCTTTCATTGTGATGTCTTCTACATCAATACTTATTGCTCTACTAGAGAGCATCTTGAGTATCCATTCTCCTACTACCAGGGGTACATTCCTGGAGTGTAGTTGCTGGGTAACTGTTGGAAAGGTTGTTTTATCAAACGCTCCCTCGATATCCATGAATATACCCACGGTGGATTCTTTGTTGTCCAATGATCTCTCGATTCTGCCAACCACATGGTAAAGGGCGGAATCAGTACACCTTCTCGGAGTATATGCATGCTGATTTGGATGAAGTGGGTTGTGAACTAATACTTCATCTCTTATGTACCGCTGACATAGCCTCTCCATGGTTTGGAGCATTCCGACTAATTTTTCGGAATGCTTTTGGTAGGGTGTAGTCCATCCTATCTGGTTTGGGTATAAATACTATTCTTACTTCTCTCCACTTACTAGGAATATACCTCAGAGCTAGAGAGGCTCTGAATATTTCAAACAGGTACGGCATAAGAGTGTGCAGTCCCCACTGAAGTAGGGCTGGTCTTATAACGTCCGGTCCTGGTGACTTGAAGGGGGAAAAGCCCGATAGAGCTCATCTTATTTTGCCCTCATCAATTACTGCACTAGCAGATTGCCAGTCGTATTGTGAGGGTGTTGTTGGTACATCCGTCCAGTTCGTCGTTCCAGGAAAGACAGAACCTGGGAAGTGAGTTTCCATAAGGATCTCAGCACCCTCCTGGAGGTTGGCGGCTTTGTCACCATTTTCCCTCGTCAGGATGCCGATACTCTTATGATAGTCATTTGAGAGTGCCTTCTGTAGCCTAGAAGCTAGTGGGAAGTCTTCGACTGCCTCACAATAGGCTCTCCAGGCTTCTCTTTGCTTTCGTCTGCAGACTTTTTTGAAGTCCACCATGTGTTGGTTGTGCCATTTGTTTGAACCATCCTCATCGGACAAGATTCCTTGTAGGCAATGTCTATTTTGTTGTGGATAGATACCGTGTACCTTTCCAGTTCTTAATTGTTGCCAGGAGTCAGGCTCTGTTTCTCGCAGAGCTCCTTTCAAGAGTCGATTGTAGAGAGCTACATCCGTTCTCTTCGGGTCACGGGATTTCACAATGATACTGAGATTCTGGTTCACCGTATAGGTCAGCCAGCGGTGGTCTGACATTGAAATATGGTCCGAAACTTGCCAGTCTTGGATTTTGTTTGATATTGATCATGTGGTATATTCTAAACCGTAACAGATACGAAGACGATTAAATGGGAAAAAAGGTTACTGTCATCGGGAACAATACAATGGTCGAAGAAAATTTACGGGGACTCGCCCTGTTTTTCGTTTTTTCTCGAATGGAATTGTTATTTCGCAGAATATCAAAAAATGGAAAAGGAAAATGTTTTTGTATTCGAAGTGTACTATGACGATGTAATAATGAATATTCGATAAAAAGTTTCGTGTCAACATGGCCACCGTCAACCAAGGGTATATCACATTTGATATTTTCATAACGTTTCATTTGAAATCACTACCATCATCAATGACAAAAATTTTAAATCATGGTCCTGTCGTTACTTCTTTAGGAAGGCTTAACAGATTGTCTCTGGTCTGGGTTCCTGGCCTGCAAGGCAACGAAGCTGCTGACTCCCTTGCAAAGGAGGGTGTGCAAGCAGCTTCATTGGACCAGAACCTGTCATTGACATCGCTTTAGTCATATCACATTTGATATTTTCATAGCGTTTCATTTGAAATAACTACCATCATCGGTGATAACAATTTCAAATTATGGTCCTGTCGTTACTTCTTTAGGAAGACTTAACAGATTGTCTCTGGTCTGGATTCCTAGCCTGGAAGGCAACGAAGCTGCTGACTCCCTTGAAAAGGAGGGTGCTGCAAGCAGCGTCATTGGACCAGAACCTGTCATTGGCATCGCTTTAGGCTTTGCGAAACAAACTCTGAACACCTGGATGGTAAAGAGATTTATGGACTTCTGGCAGAATTTTCCAGGATTGGCTCACTCCAAGGAGTTTGTTCATCCTTCGAAGCTTGATACCAAGATGTTGGACTACAGTAGGGATGAACTACGATGTCTAACAGGCCTTCTTACAGGTCACTGTCATTTGAATCATTATATGCAGAGAATTGGACTGTCGAAAGACAGTGTGTGTCGCCTCTGTTTGGAAAATGATGAAACAGCAGAGCATATACTTTGTAGGTGCCCTGCTGGGGACCGAATCAGGTTCTCAGAGTTCGGCAGTGCCGTACTCATACCATCAGACCTGAAAAACCACTCACCATACAAACTAATCGGCTTCGTTAAGAAGCTGGGTTTATTTGGCAGAGGGCAAGTATTAAACTCTTAATAATGGGGTCAAATCCGAAATCGGTCGTATGGATAAAATTTACCAGTGGTATTTAGACAAAAGTGTTTTTATTCACTTCATTTAATTGTTTAAATCTGTTTAAACTCTGTGTAAAATATGTTTTTCCGTTAACCAGCTGTCGCACCCCTGCGAACGACAACCCTTAGAAGTCGAAACTTGTGCCAGCTGAGGATTAACGGGATCTTACCTTTTAACGTGTTATTCCTAACACGAGTTGGACGATAGCAAGTGAAAATCTATCGTCCAGCCTGGGACTTGAACTACCGACCAACACGGCGGCCAATTCGAGTGAGTGAACAAAGGACCCACGTCGAACCGACCGGCTACCGACCGACCGAGTTGTAATGGTTATTTTTTACGAAATAGCAGATTTATCCCTTCCAGTGACATAAAGTCGTAAGTTTTTGTAAGAATTAGGTGAATC